GGAGAAAAACTAGCATCAAATAGTAACCAACAGAGAGCAACAATATCCAGTAAAAGGGAAGAAAAAGTAGCATCAAACAGTAACAATCAGAGTATCCCAGTAGCAATTTACAAAAACAAAGGATGTGGTTGCAAAATACCAGATACAATAACAAACTAGACGGAAGTAACTTTCAACCCACAACAAGAATATTACTAGTACTACTGGTGAACCTATGAAAAATTCGCAACTACCTGTCAACCCACCACTTAATCATCGACCTCCACACCTTTCTATCGCTAGCCATGTCCTCGGTTAGGTGAAGCACCGACAAGTCCTGCCTAATCACATCTCCCCAATACTTCTTAGGTCTACCCCTGCCCTTCCTCAAGCCCGCCACGGTCAACCTCACACCTCCTGACCGGGGCATCTATATCTCTCCTCTTCACGTGCCCAAATCATCACAGCCTCGATTCCCGTAACTTGGCTTCCACATATGCCACTCCCACCTTGATCCTGATAACTTCATTCTTGATCTTGTCTTTCCTGGTATGACCACACATCCATCTCAATATTTCTGCAATGTTATCTTTTGGACATGGGACTTTTTGACGGTAATAAGCGATAATAGAAGAACAAAATAAGTGAATGAGAAAATTTCCTTTGGAGGTATAACTACAGAATGTGGAACTTTGTGAAGGAGCATATCTCTTCGTAACACTACAATAAGGGTCTTTTTGTTTAAGCCCGTTTGCTAAGCATTTTTTTAATTAGGGTACTTAATTTAAATAGGTTAATAATTAAAAGGGATATTTTGGTAATTTAACTTTTAACTTAAGGCCTTCCCACTTTTAATATAGTATAAATAGATAGATATAGATAATAAAAGTTTAGTCCATTATAAACTAGAGACCAGTAAATGCTTTTCGTTAAGAGAGAATCTCTGTGATCCAAATAAAAACAGATAGGAGGTAATCTCGAGACTTATTTCAACAAGGAAATAAGAGAATAGACATCAATGTAACTCACATTATTCAAGGTACTTCGATTTCACTTGGAAGTTTATTTATCTCTTTTATATGACTTTTACTGCCCAATACCCCCTTATTGTTGCCAAAAAGAAAAGGATGGAAGGAAGCCCTCAGGGCTTTGGTCTAGTGGTCAGAGCACAGCATATGAGGTGTGGGTTAGGTGCACGTCACACTGATTCTTACCATGCCGCATATAAAAGCCTGGTATTTAAGTGGAGAAGAATAAATAGACGGACCCCTTATACACCAAATTTCAAATTGTGGGCATAGTTTTCGGGGATTCCTCAATTATCAAAAGAAAGAAACGAAAAAAAAGAGATGGAAGGAACAGATAACTAAAGAGTTCCATTACATATTTCAGGAATAAGGTGAAATAGCTCATGGAGTTTTTTCTTCTGATGGATGACAGACATAAGGTGGAAGACAGGTTTACTTCGGACGGGTGACAAACACAAGGTGAAATCACAAATGCTTCATGGAGTAAACCTGCATGCCTATTCTCAAATATAAATAAAAGCTGAAAAGCAAGAATCTTAAGCGAAAAAGGAAACATCATGCCCTTAATGATTAAACCATAATCTTATCCATGATGCTAATACCATGTTTTTGAAGTAACTCGAACTAACAATTTTAGGATCTGATTTAAAATGTCAATGAAGGTGGTATGACCTGACAATTCTATCCATCAACAACATGATTTCTTCAAGAATCTTCCTGGAGGAGAAATGGGCTAGATTTGGCTGTGCTTTGATGTCAGTTATAAAGATGTCTTCCTTATACGCTTATTATGCTCAACACTAAAATGCAAGAAATGCATGAATATCCTAGAGGAATCCAGCTCCTAATAAAGCATGTCATGACTTTTTTCAATACTCACAAGATAAAAGAACTTATACTATCTACCACTTATAGAATGAATAAATAGACAGTCTCATGAGTAAAGGAAATGAAACATTTCTGCCTGTCGCCGTGTCTATTGACCTGCTATAGTCGCTGCCATTTTAGGGACAACAAGTTAACTATTGCATTTTTCTTTTCTTTTCTTTTCTTTTTTTTTTTTTTTGATAAGGCAAAAAAACTTTTATTTCATTGACAGGGTACCGAGCAGTTAAGTATTGTATTTTTCCACACAACAAAACAAAAGGCGCTCAATAAAAACCCTAAATTAGCTGCCAAAGATAACAGGAAAAGTGCAATTTTAAGAGTAATGTGTACAAGGCAATGAATTACGGCCGTACAGTTTGATTCACAAATTTCAAAGGATACTTAAGATGATGTATAGCAGAATAAACCTTAATGAAGAGCTATTTCATTTTGTTGATGAAGAAAACAAGAACAGTAAGTGGCCGTAAATTTGTCATTTGAAAAAATCACTAAATTCATTCAATATTTTTCATGACATACAAGCACTAAATTCTTTGGCTCCTTTATAGCACCTCCTTCAACCTAGGAAAGATTGATTCACCCCGATTAACCGAAAATAACTTCTTCCAAAACCTCAACTGATTCACTTTTATCAAAATGATATTACTTTAAAATTGCAACCCGTATATGCAGACTAAGCGTCATAATTTCCTTCATCTGTTGTACCTATGGCTGCTTTTTCAGTGCGTGTTCCTTTGCTAGAGGAGGCATTGTAAATGAATTGGAATTTCAGTTTTTAGCATAGAGGGATATCTGTTTAGGGCTTGCAGTACATGTGCAGGTATATTTTATTTGTTAGGTAATTCGAAAGCATTCAACTTTACCTAGTAAAAATAGGCATGTCTCTTCCCATTATTTTTGAATGTTTAATAAACGGTTTATGAATATAATAGTATAATTCTATGAGAAATACTATACTCATGACATGTTATTAAACTTGTGTAACCATTTCCCCTGGGTAAGTCCCTCGTAAAAAAGAAAAGTGTGAATCTTTAGTTCTTGTAGCTAGTGTTATCAAGAAGTGTGAAGCGCACCAATTTTATCACTGAATTTTCTTGTTATGGTTCCTTGTCCACTCATAAAATGTCATCATTAGAAAAGCTCTCGGAGAACACACGTCCTGGTCTATGGAGGCTGAAGGTGAGTTTGTGAATTAATACATTCCCTGGATAAACTCTGGTATTATGTATGAAGAACAGATGCAAGTTCCAAAAAAAGTATTCTAGAACTACTCCACTCAATGATGTTTCATATGATTGCTTTTTTGACAAGCTCTTGCCATAAAGATGACATATGTTGCATACAGCAATGAAAAGCTTGACGTGCTTTTCTGAGCCATTTCTCATCTGTTAGAGAGGCCCACTCTAATACATTAAGAAAATATGTCCACAGTGGCCAAAATAGAAAAAACCGTTCATAAGAGAACTTTTGATGCCTTGTGTCCCCTTATAACCTAGGATCAATGGTGATAAAGGTGATAGTTCCATATCCCTTGTTTAACTAAATGATTGGTCTAGCAACAATAGTGTGGCCTAGTGGTCAATGAAGTGGGAGGAGAGTCATGAGGTCTCACGTTCAAATTCCAGTGGAGGCAACAAACACTAGGTGACTTCTTCCCATCTATCCAAGCATTGGTGGACGGAGTTACCTGGTACCTATGCTGGTGGGAGGTACCTACTGGAATTAATCAAGGTGTGCACAAGCTGGCTCAAATATCGCCGTCATAAAAAATGATTGGTCTGCCTATTAGTTTCGGACATTATTTCCCTGTATTAAATCATGCTCCTTATGCTATCTTGTGCTTCAAATATGACGCTACGTATGTCAAAAGAACTAGACTCAGAAAATGTGATTTGATCGGTTAGGAAAAGATAAAAAGAAGGCCACTTTGTGGCACCAACTACAGTTTCAAATCCTGTAATGGTGAGTGCTTTCTAGATGTGGAAAGATCACCGGTGACCAGCCTGACAAGAAGTCAGACACTTACAAATGATCTTTAGTCAAACTACTATATCACTTCAAAAGACAGCATATTAATTCCAATAGTGGTGGGGGTATCAAAGTTTTTGAAGGTGACATATCTTCAAAATCAAAGAACCCCTGGCATATATCTATGTCACCTTTTCTCGAAGGAAAAGATCATCAAGTAAGCATCCAGCCACAACCAATTTAACAATAAATATTCAGTTAAATCATGAAATCTGAATAAAGTCGACATCACAATGAAATGAAATATGTGTAAAATACCTACATACTATTGAATAGGAGTGACCAGATGTATCCTAAAACGGTGTTGAATATTGTTACTGAAAAATTGAGACAGGACTTACATCTGTTCTTATATTAAAAAAACATTCATGCAGAAAGATATACTTTACAGATAAAGAGAGACCTCCAATGTATGAATTTTAAGAAGTCACGTACCTCCATCTTTGACAGCTAAGTAATCTTTGAGTACTATCATCATTTGGTTTTCCCAATTGCAGCCAAGCTTTCCAATAGTTCAATAACGAGAGGAAAAAAGAAGTTCATTTCTCATTTCTTGGATGAAACTCTGGTATCATATTAACCAAAAAAGGACCTTCCCCTATTAACAAAAGTAGTTCTATTAGCAGTGACATTGTGGCTTTACCAGCTGGGAAACCCTTTCCAACAATTTCCTTCAAAAGAGCAATCGCTTCATTAGCTGTATTACTCTTGAGAAGTCCATGCATAATAAGATTGGAAGTGGCATTCTCAGGGAAAGAACCATCGTCCTCCATTTTTCTTAGCAACTCTTTGGCTTCATCTACTAAACCTTCAATACAAAGTCCATTTACTGTTACATTGTATGTTATAGCATCAGGGTGCAACCCTATGGAATAAAGCTTATCAAAAATTGAACGAGCTTTATCAAGCTTCTGAATTTTAAAAAATCCACCATTGCCTGTGTTATAGATCAAAATATTAGTATCTTCTTGTTGTTTATCCCACCTATGAAAGAGGGACATGGCTTTTTCAACATGTCCATTCTTTAAATAACCATGAAGCATTACACCACAAGTGTAAATGTCGGGACTATGGCCTGCGTTTTGCATCTCAGAAAAGAAACTTTCTGCACACTCAACTCTACCAACTTCAAATAGACCTTGCAAGATAGTACAATATGTAACAATATCAGATTTTAACCCCTTTTGCGAGATTTCACAATATAAATGCATAGCTTCGTCTAATTTCTTTTGCTTGCAATATCCATTGATTAATATGTTGTAACTAAAGATGTCAGGCTTGATGTCAGAATCAATCATAGAGTCAAAAACTCTCCTTGCTACATCTATTTCAGCGCGCAAACAATACCCTTCCATTATCAGATTGTAGGTAATTGCATCTGGCTTTTGACCTCTTTGTATCATTAGCTGTAACACTTGTACAGCATCTTCAACCATCCCTTTCTTGCAGAATGCATCTACCAACATGCTGAATGTGTGCACGTTTGGGAAAATATGAAGAAACATCATCTCATCCAGAAGAAGTCTAACCTTTTCCCACTGATCCAACTTACACAAACCATCAACCAGTGAACTATATGTAAGTACGTTGGGAGTAATGCCTTTCCGTTTCATTTCATTGAAAAGGTTGAAAGCAGCACCTACCATCTTATCTTTGCAAAGCGCATCTACGACAATGCTATACACAACAGTGTTAGGTTTGGGATCCCCTTGTTCCATTATCCTCAGCAAACTAAGAGCTGTTTGAGTATGTCCTTTTTTACAAAGACCATTCATGACGGTACCATACATAACTTCATCAAGCTCACAAATTTTCTCAGTGACCAGCTTTTGAAACAACCACATGGCATCTTTAATCTTATTTTGTTCAAAAAGCCCCCTCGTAAGAGTGCTGAAAGTAACCACGTTAAACTGAACACCACTCTTGAAGAAAATACCCAGAACCGAAAACCCATGTTCAGCACGATCCAACAAGCAAAAACAATTAATCACAATAGTCAAGATATAATCATCAAAGGATATCCCCAGTTTCCTCATCTCTCTAAAATATGAAACAACGGCAGAGTAATGTTTCATGTTAATCATCACCCTAAACAATTTTGCAAACTCAATAACCGAAGGAATAGGTTGTGTTCGGACCATTTGATGAAAAACGCAAACAGCATCGTTTAAATTATTTACATGTCTCAACTCCCTAAAAACAGCAACTTTACGCTTTTTAGAAATCGACGGCTTTTCTTGAAATGAAGAATGTAAAGCAGAACAAGAATGAAACATAGTTGCACGGCGGCCAAGTGATAAAACAAACAATAAATTACCTCTGCTACAGAGAGGTTTTATCCATGAATGAGAGAGCATGGTGGCTGCTCTGTTTCTTCCTCATTGTCTACGTTTCTTGCATCCTTCCGAGTTTTGTGCTCAATTGCTCGATGGACTCGGGTAATTGATATTTGGGCTAATTTGGATGATACCTGTGGCGGCCCAATTGGGTAATTAGGGGGGGGGGGCTTTTGGGCCACTATTGAAGTTATAAAAATTGCACGAGGCGCCCTATTTGGTCGTCCCATTTAACCTATACTCATTTTTTTTAAAGTTTTAATTTGTACCCATTTTTTTAAACAACTTCAACTCCTTTTCTCCTCCTCCTTCTCCACGCAAGAGATGCATTGTGCATCCTTCGGTTCAGCGGCGTTTCTTTCGACGTTGTCGTCTCAGATGTCCACATGCCTGATATGAATGGCTTTCAGTTACTGTACAAAGGTGTTTGGAGTTGGGGTTTCGAAGTTATATTTATTTCCAACTTTGGAATAGCAGCATAGCTTTTGCTTTTTGGCATATGTGGACTTCTAAAATAGGGAAGTAGAAGTCACTGCATGCAGCATGTGAATTGGATTACCCAAAAGAAAAATATATTTGTGAATTCTTTCGACGTTCTAATCACATAGAAAGTCAGTTAAAACTTCAACTCTAAGAAGGCTGAAGTTCTCCAGTTACAAAACAAAAACTTCAGCTTTAGAGCTGAAGTTCCCCAGTTACAAAAATAAAAACTTCAGCTCTAGAGCTGAAGTTCGCCAGTTACAAAACAAAAACTTAAGCACACTTGGTTCAGCACACTTGCTACTTCAGTCCCGTATACTAGAATGCTGAAGTTTTGCGTGATTGTCTTTGCTACTTCAGCCACGTAGGCTAAAATTACGCGAAAAAAGTGGGTACGCTTGCAATTTTTTTGCAACGCATGCATAAGTTAAAACATGACCCAAAAAGCGGGTATAGATGCAAATGTCCCATTGAAGTTATATTCGTAATATATAATGTAACTTCATTATACAATGAAGGAAATTTTACCTCCTATAGTAAAGGTATACACCCTATTTATTATAAATCAAAATTATTTTAAAATATTATTTTCTATTGTTGTCTTTTATATTTTATAGCAAAATAAGTATTTATGGTATATACTACTAGCGAGGCTTGAAATACGCTATTAATGTTTTTTCTCTCTCTTAGACAGCTGGATATACTTATTTTTAAGGTGATTGTCGTTACTGTATTCATGAATACATGGTGAGAATACATGTGAATACATGCGCATACAGTTGGACTGTCCTGATTTTAGGCGCTTTTTACAAATATATTCTTGAATACATCAACGCGAATACATGATGCGCGTATATCGGGACTGCCCTGATTTTAGACGTTTTTTACTGTTGTATTTATGAATACATGCACGCACAACTGGACTGTCCTAATTTTAGGCATTTTTTATTGTTGTATTCATGAATACAGCAATGCGAATACATGTGAATATACTACAGTAACAACTGAATAGTAGCTATAGGAAGTAATTATGTATATGGTGGCTAGGAGAAATTAATAGCCACTAAACAATGGTGGTTTTCTAAAAATTCCTCTATAATGAACCTAAATTACCCACTAGGACCTAAATTTGCCAAATTTATCCACAGGGACTAAAGTAGTTCTATCTGTTTCATGTAACTTTAGAAATTAAATTGTTAGTTTTTTAATCTTTCAAGTGCAACTTCAGAGAATTCGAGTCTTAATTAGTTATATCTCTTCAATGCAATTTCAGAAATCAAATTGTAAGTTCTTATATCTTCGAAATACAACTTCAGAAAATTCAAATTTTAAGCAGTTCTATCTTTTCAATTCAACTTCAAAAATTAAATTTTAAGTTTGTCTATCTTTGAAATGCAACTTCAGAAAATTCGAACCTTAAGTAGTACTATTTATTCAATGCAATTTCAGAGTTCTGAAATATAAACTCGTTCTTCGAATTTCAATATTCCAATACATGATTCAATGCCCAAATCTAATCCAAATGAACTCAATTTTTAAATATGACCTTCAATTATCACATCGAACAAACGCTAAATATAAAATTATCAAAATAATAACAAATCTAACAAACTTATTTTGCAACTAATAAGAAGAGGAATAACAAATCTCAAATGGTCCATCAGTTTCCATTGTTGCTGTTGAGATAGCTGCTAAAAAGTACCATTTCATCTGCAAACTTCTTGATTATTGCAGAGCATAATTTTTATTAATTTATTACGTTTTTGATATTTTATGCTTGGGTCAAGCACATATAAATTTGATAATTGGTGGCGATGAGGGCCATGTGCACAAATGAGCTTTTTCTGAGCTACTATTTAAATTTTATCCTATATTAGTCCAGTGGACTAAATTTGTCTTTATAAAATGAAAAATTAATCCTACTATTTTTTGAGATAATATTTAGCCACTAGACTAACGAGGGACAAAATTTAAATAGTGACCTCAAAAAAAGGTCATAGGTTGTCAAATAATTTTGGTAATGAGACTTGAAATCAGGACCTTTGTTGGGCATGTACCATATTTAATTGCATAATTATTTTATTTAAAAACTTAAATTATTAGAGAAATAATACTTTTACTTCTATTATATCCTCAATAGAACTAACCACCACCGCAGCCAGCATGGCCAGAGCCACCACAAGAAATGCAGATCAAACCATCAAAGGAAATGGACGATGGGGAAAGCTCAATATTAGAGGATTTAACAACAGATGGAGCATATGCCAAAGGGCTAACATCAAGTATGGAGAAACGGGGGAAGGAGACGGCGGCACAGGCGGTGGTAAACAGAGGACATTCACGGCGGCAGAGGCGGAGCCAGGATTTCGAGTTTTTGGGTTCGGAATTCTAATCGTTAAAAGTTATTAGGTTCTAAATTAATCATTTATACATATTTAATAGCCGGTTTTTGCATCTTTTTCGCATCTAATTCTGTATTTATTGCACAGGAAGTCCATTTATTGTACTTATCTGAAATTTGCTATCGTCTTATAAATTCATACTAACGTCAAGCCTGTATGCAAAAAGGGCTGACGCCATGCATATATGATTAGAGTTCAGAATTGTTTGAAAGAAAATTGCCTCGTGCAACAAATTAGCGTGAGATGTAATTTAATCGCACAAGTTTAACTCGTGCACATTTACAGTGTAACTAATATTTTATATTATCATGTCATTGAAAAAATATTCATTAGTAACTTTATATATATTTGGGAAAATGACACTGTATAACCGTCCTTAAAATATACACACACATTTTTTATGTTATATACACAAATTATACAAATTTTATATACTTTTTCAACTATCGAATGTAAATAGTTTTTGACATGGACTAAAGTTGAAAAAGATCCTAAGAGGTGGGACTAATAATTTTTAAATATAGACATGTTATTTTGTTCAACAAATAAAGAAGACACAACAATGTAAAAAGCTTTTACACCGTCTGAGTATACAAGGTAAATTCTTTGCACAAATAACCACTTTTGCGGCCTTATATTTAGAAGTTGATCATTTTTCATGGACGTGTCAAAAGTAAATTGGTCATAAGTGGACCGGAAGACATATTATTATTAAGGGAATTTTTCATAAAGCACCATCTTTTAGGTCTAATTTGTCATTTATAGATACCCTTTGCTATATTACGTGTTATAGATACCTTTTATGTTTTTATACAATGTATTTCATGTATTTAAGTTGTTGTATTCATTAATACAACCAAAAAATAAGCGTAAAAACTGGAATTCCAGCTAAGTTTGACATGTATTTAGCTGTATTCAAGCGACATTAACGTTAAATACAGAAGGTTAAACTGGTTAAAAACGGAAGGAAATCCTGTATACAGTTGAATACAACAAAATACAACTTAATTCATCTGAATACAAC